ATCACTTCATGTTGTATTGCATTGCACATGTTATCCATGCGAGTCAAATGTTTTTATTTCATATTTTTTTATATATATGTATATATGGGGGTTGCTTTGGTTTTAAGTCTAAAAGGGGCAAGTTTTGTTTTTTTAAGAATACTATACTGTTTTTTTTTTTAAGTTTACTATACTGAATACTGTGAAATTTAAAGGATTCGTTTTGGAGTGAACTAAAATACACTGAAAATACACCAATGCTCATAATATTTGTTTGTGAAAGTTTACCAGTATTTTTTTCTGAATGTGATAATAAAATGTGACACTTGCAACTTTTCTATGAACTACGAAAGAGGATTGGGCCAAGCAATAATAAAAAATTAAAACCATCTCGAGATTAAAGCCGTTCAATTTAGAGAATAAAGTCATTATGTTTCGAGAAAAAAATAAGATATAAAATGAGATAAAATGTTGAGAATAAACTCATTTACGAGAAAAAAGTAGTAAAATTTCGAGAAAAAAACTCGTTAGATTTCAAGAGAAAAGTCTAAATAAAATGTTGAAAATAAACTCATTAAATAACGAGAAAAATGTCGTTAAACTGCGAGAGAAAAAGTCGAGATAAAATGTTGAGAATAAACTCATTAATTTACGAGAAAAAAGTAGTAAAATTTCGAGAGAAAAAACTCGTTAGATTTCGAGAGAAAAGTCTAAATAAAATGTTGAAAATAAACTCATTAAATAACGAGAAAAATGTTGTTAAATTGCGAGAAAAAAAGTCGAGATAAAATGTTGAGAATAAACTCGTTAAATTACGAGAAAAAAGTCGAGAATTAACACACTCAACTTTTTTCTCGCAATTTAACGATTTTAATCTCGAGATGGTTTTATTTATTTTTATTACTGCTTGGCCCGAATCCTCGTCCGTAATGAGCGAGTGTGACTTGTCGTGGGACGCGGCTTATTTTCTGAAAAATACAACAGACTTCGAGGCAAATGATTTTGAAATGTGAATCTCCAGAGGGTTCTGATGTTGTTTGTTTGTGCAGATGTTTCTCTGGTGTCCGCTCCGGTGTCGGCCTTCTACACGGGCTGCATGGATGTGCGGGTCAACGGTCACCTGCTGGACGTGGACGAGGCCCAACACAAACACAACAACATCCGCTCTCACTCCTGCCCTCTGCTGGACACGCAGCAATAACCGCAGCGCAGACGACTTTTTTCTCGCAATTTAACGATTTTAATCTCGAGATGGTTTTATTTATTTTTATTACTGCTTGGCCCGAATCCTCGTCCGTAATGAGCGAGTGTGACTTGTCGTGGGACGCGGCTTATTTTCTGAAAAATACAACAGACTTTGAGGCAAATGATCTTGAAATGTGAATCTCCAGAGGGTTCTGATGTTGTTTGTTTGTGCAGATGTTTCTCTGGTGTCCGCTCCGGTGTCGGCCTTCTACACGGGCTGCATGGATGTGCGGGTCAACGGTCACCTGCTGGACGTGGACGAGGCCCAACACAAACACAACAACATCCGCTCTCACTCCTGCCCTCTGCTGGACACGCAGCAATAACCGCAGCGCAGACTCCAGCACAGGAGGAGCTTTAATCCGGATCCAGTCAACGGATCTTCAAAGGCCTTAGTGAAGCCGGACCCCTCGCCACACTCACGCACATATAGCACAGTATCGATGTATTCCTCACATTAGACCAATCTAACACAAGCTACTGAGAGTGTGCTGTAAAATACTGTAACTGTACATATGCCACTGTAAAATGCTTTAGAGGAGGATGACTAAAAACACCCAACTACCATTAAAGGCCTTCAGGCCTCGATGTAGGTGCTCAACTTCATCATCATCATCATCATTCAGTAGTTTGAGTTGGAACAGTTTTTTTTTTTAGTCCCTCGTTTGAGTTCGTCCTCTTCATCTTGTTGAAGTTGTTTTATATTTTGTTCATGTTTGCGAGACTGAAATGCTTGAAGAAAACTAATAAAGGCGGACAGTGTTGTTATGATGATGAATTCTGTCCTTTTAAGATGAAACAAAACCAACTAACCTGATGCGTGTCACTGTACGCTGGTAGTTTCGAGACACAAGCACACAATTCACAAAAAAAAAAGCAAGCAAAACTAGTGTTTCATGCACTTATCAAATTTGAGATTTTGGTCTGTTTTGCTCCCATATAATGTCTCTTCTTTCAGACTGGTGAAAAGAAAACATCCAAAACACACATTTAAGTGTTTATTTATCTGTTTGCGTCCGTAGATTTCAATCTTTAAGAGCTTTTTTCGCTTACGCCAAACTTTTTTCCTCTCTTTATTCTGAAGGTTTGTTCATATTTCATACATTTTCCTCCTAAAAACATGGTGAAAATGTTTGTTTTTTTGTCTGTTGACAGTATTTTCTGATTTATGGAGCGATAAAAAGAGAAATACAAAATCCTCTGGAAAAACCTTTAATATGGCAATAAAATCAAACAAGACTTTTGAATGTAGCTTTATTCAATGTTCTGGAAATGAACACAAACGAGTGCATATTTAAGTAGGTTATGCCACATTTGCATATTTTAAACAATGTTAAGTGCAAACTCTTTCAGAACTGCCTGTTCCTTTATCATTTATAGTGTTGCGGTTTAAAGTAGAATTATTTCTATTTTGTGAAAGGATTTTTCCAGGGTTTTATTGAAGGTAAAATTACTTTAAAATATTTTATTAGGTGAAAAGTGATGGTCTTGCGCAGTAAACACTTCGCGTGCCTAAACAGAAAACGCTGGACAATGCAAATACCAAAAACACAGTCACATGGGAATATGGTTCATTCGTATTCAGAGATATTTCTAAATCTAGGGGACGTTTGGTCTTTGTATTTTTAGATCAAGTTTAAGCATTTAGTAAATGCACCACAAAGCAAATTAAAATGAATGTAGCAATAAAATATTGAACTGGCAGATAAAAAAAAAATTATTCTGAGTTTAATTGAGAAGTTCATGATTAAGCTGAAGCCTTTCTGTTCTGCTTTTTAAGCCTTTTTTAATTCAAACTGGTTACTTATGGAAATGTTGCATGAGCATGAAAGGGTTAAGAAGAGATGCTATATTGTTGCCTTGTTTAACGCAACAAATTTAAAACTTCACTGATAAATCTTAACCATGCATTTGCCTATTAACTCTTTAAGCAGCAAGCGTTTCATGTATTATTTTTAACATCAATGTAAGAGCTGTGTTAATCATAACCGGAGGATTTACTTGCTAGATTATGAAAGTAAAATCCGGCAGTAGTCATGAATATGTAGTTAGTGTTATTTTTTTTAAATACCCAATACATTTATTAAACATTTATGACAAGCTGACGGTTATCATCACAATGATTTTGAAGAATATGAATTCTAAAGAGAACTTTCACTCTTAAAATGTGGTTTTCACAGTGATGCAACACAAATATTCTTAACTTAAAACATTCTGTTTTGTTATTAAAGAAGAAAGTGGCATTTAGGAAGATTTTTCATTGTGTGCGTTGTTGTATTACACCAGGACTGATGGAGTCACACGTCTTGATATTAAACCACGTGTGTTATTCAGGAATCTGAATGCGTTCTCCGCAGGATTCTCCTCAGACTCGCGCTTCACTGTGACAGTAGTTGATCTGACCGCAGAAGACTAAAGCAGCTACAGTGATCTGTGAAGCTGAAGCTGAAGCTGAGGACGAGACACGTTCTTCAGCTTTGCATTGAGTGTTTCAGCCTTATATGATTCAATGACTCAAACTATGAAGATCCCACCAAAACAAAGAGGACATTAAAAAGCCAAAGTTCAGAGGTTTTGGAAACTACCAGACGACGAACAACATCGATCACATTTGCTCCAAGAATAAGTGACGATTACATAGACTCTTTCTGAGGTCATTAGCAGCAGCGGCGGCGGCGGTGGAGGTCACAGGGGTCAGACGCCTGTCAGAGGTCAGGGTTCCTTGCTCAGGTGGCGCTTTCAGCAGGCGTAAGGTGGAGGCTTCTCGAAGGGCCCTAACGAGTGAGCGTAGAGCGAGGGAGCGTTTGGAGTCGGCATGTAGCCGCTGCTGTCCTGAGATGTGGATTGAGACGGTACGACTGGATTCTACAAAGAGGACATTAAAAAGCCAAAGTTCAGAGGTTTTGGAAACTACCAGACGACGAACAACATCGATCACATTTGCTCCAAGAATAAGTGACGATTACATGGACTCTTTCTGAGGTCATTAGCAGCAGCGGCGGCGGCGGTGGAGGTCACAGGGGTCAGACGCCTGTCAGAGGTCAGGGTTCCTGGCTCAGGTGGCGCTTTCAGCAGGCGTAAGGTGGAGGCTTCTCGAAGGGCCCTAACGAGTGAGCGTAGAGCGAGGGCGCGTTTGGAGTCGGCATGTAGCCGCTGCTGTCCTGAGATGTGGATTGAGACGGTACGACTGGATTCGTCCCGCTCTGAGACGCTGCTTGAGTCTCGTCAGACGGGGAGGTCGTGACCTCGGGGACGGACTGACCTGCAGCCGAAGCTGGATAACCGCTCAGATGCTGGAGAACGAGGATGAAGAATACAAAATTAACATCAGAAATGAGATTAAAGCACATGTGCAGACTTTTTAGCAGCTGCTTGTTTAAACTACTTTCAAATCTATACCATGACAAAAGTCATTTTCAACCACAGACATCATATGGTAATTCTGCCTGAAATCATAGATGTTACTAATTGATTTTAAAGCCATGCTTACAAAACCAACAACGTTTAAATCTCTTAATAGAACAAAACTGACCGATATATAAATGTTTTAATAGAACTAAAACGACCGATATTTAAATCTTTTAATAGAACAAAACTGACCGATATATAAATGTTTTAATAGAACTAAAACGACCGATATTTAAATCTTTTAATAGAACAAAACCTACCGATATTTAAATCTTTTAATAGAACAAAACTGACCGATATATAAATGTTTTAATAGAACTAAAACGACCGATATTTAAACCTTTTAATAGAACAAAACCGACCGATATTTAAATCTTTTAATGGAACAAAACCGACCGATATTTAATTCTGTAATTAGAACAAAACTGACAGATATTTAAACCCTTAAATAGAACAAAACTGACCGAAATTTAAATCTCTGTTTCTAAAACAAAACCAACTAATACTTAAATGTTTCTAAAACAAAACCGACCGATATTTAAATCTTTTAATGGAACAAAACAGACCGATATTTAAATCTCTGTTTCTAAAACAAAACCAACTAATACTTAAATGTTTCTAAAACAAAACCGACTGATATTTAAATCTGTTACAAGAACAAAACAGACCAATGTTTACATTTCTTAAAACAAAACCGACCGATATTTAAATGACTTAATAGAACAACACTAACCGATATTTAAATCTATTAATGGAACCAAACCAACCAACTTTTAAATCTTATAATACAACAAAACTGACTGACATTTAAACGTCATAATAGAAAAAACATTTTCTATAGTAATATTCAGTCCTGTTGGTGTCCTGATCATCTGACTGTCATGAGTACCGTCCTGCTGACAGAGGTTAGTTGGTTAGTGGTCCTCACCTGCATGGGCAGCGCGTAGTTTGGGTAGGCGGGTAGAGTTTGTCCGGAGGGGCAGAAGCCGGTGTAGGTGATCAGGTGTTGGGTGGGGTTGTACAGGATGTGAGGGGGCGGAGCCGGACTGGGTGTCATGTGACTGCGAGCCGCAGGAGCCTGAGCGCACACACACACACACACACATCTACATCAACTACAGACTCATTAAGACACATGAATGTGGAAGCTATGATATGGATAATGAGAATTATTGTTATGTTAAAGCTGATCATTTAAATTAAGCATCTAAATAGCTTTGTCAGCTTTTTATTTATTTTTTATTTTTATACATTTAAGAAAAATTTAATTAGTGAAATAAGCCATCAAAACAATGCAATTTTCACTCAGATACAGAATATTGCCAAAATTATCCACAATGTTTTAATTTTTTGCCCAAAAACTGAAAATTGCCAAAATTACTTGCAAATATTTTTTTACTCATAAACTGAATATTGCCAAAATTATCTACAATTTATTTATTTTTTATTAAAAAAAAACAAAAAAACAAGTCATAGCTTATGCACCCAAGTTTTTGAGTGAAAAAAGCATTATTGGTAAATAATTTGGGCAATATTAAGAGAGCCATGATCAATCAGCTCCAAAAAGAAATACAAAACCTGTGCTGAAAGAAAAGAGGTTGGCAAAAAGATTGAATCCAAGATTTGGTGATAATATAACAATGACAAATTTATAAGCAATTTTTAAAGGATGATCACTTTTGACAAGGAACACCAAAGTAGATGTTTGTTTGTTTTTTACTATTATTATTATTTTTTTTTTAAGAAAAATAAGCAATCTAACCATCATTAAACCAAGCCATCTTTATGCTGTGCACTAAAAATGAGATATCGATCATTGCAGTTTCATTATTCAAAACAAACATTCCAAAAAGTAAAATCGCTATGCAATGTTGGGTTTAAAAATGATTTGTACATTAAAAAATGTGATAGTTTTAATATATAAAAATTCAAATAAAACTTTTCTGAGTGAGTCTGGCGGCTTCAGCATCTTCGATCACTGCATCTGTCATGTAAAACTCTGAGCAAACACTAGTTTCACTTATTAGTGTGTGATGAATCCAGACTCACCAGGTCTTTGAAGGCTCCCAGTACGGCAGCGGTGATGATGCCCAGAAACACGCCGAGCACATTGAGCGTCACACAGGCCCACAGCAGACGGTACAGATTCACCACGTCCCAGCAGCTGCTCACACCCGTGAACTCATAGTACTGCACACGGTAGTCCACGCTAACACACACACACACACACACACATGCAGTACAACGCTCAGTAACACACAGCTGTGCTGCAAACACTCAGTGACTGATGCGTGTGCTTCACCTGTCACAGTGGAATAAGTCACAGCAGTAGCAGGTGTTGCTCTTCACCTTGAGTTTACACTGATTACCGTAGGAATGACAGTGAACCTGAACACAGCAAATCAACACGTTTATACTTTAGACTTCACATTATGAACTATATTGTAGCTTTTATGACAAACTGGTCATTTCGACCCAGAGAGGATTTTCTTTTTCCAGAAAAGGCTAGTTTAATGTTATTGCATTGGACTAAAACCTCCTGACTTTGCCCACAGCTTACCAAAATTGTGCTATTTTGACTGATTGATCGCAGGCCAATCAGTCCACAAATTATCCACAAATAATTACTTAATCAAATTAAAATCATTTTAACCCAAAAACTAAGAATTTTTGTCAAAGTGATCCACAATTCCATCCAAACCAGTGTCTGCTAAATTAATAAATGTAAATATAGCCAAAATTGTCAGCAAATATTGTTTTTCACTCAGAAACTGAATATTGCCAGAATTACCCATAAATAATGTTTTTTTTACTCAAAAACGGAATATTAGCAAAATTATCCACAAATAATGCTTTTTCACTCAAACTGAATATTGGCAAAATTACAGACAAATATTTTTTTTACCCAAAAACTGAATATTGGCAAAATTCTATGAATTATTTTTTTACTCAAAAACGATTATTGACAAAATTATCCACAAATAATGCTTTTTCACTCAGAAACTGAATATTGCCAAAATTGCAGACAAATATGTTTTTTTTTTTACTCAAACTGAATATTGCCAAAATTACCTGTAAATATTTTTTACCCAAAAACGGAATATTGGCAAAATTCTATGATTTTTTTTTTTGTTTTTACTCAAAAACGATTGACAAAATTATCCACAAATAATGCTTTTTTTACAAAAAAAAAAATGTATACTGCCCAAATGAACTGCCAATAGTGCTTTTTTTCACTCAA